AAAAAAACTGTATTCCAGAACTTCAGAACAGAAGCATGGGAATAAAATACATATACTAAGTAATTTTAGAACAATTTGTGATACACTTCATTAGGAACAGGAAACTACTTTTATAAGTGAAGTTTTTGAACTATACATAAACAGAGCTAAAAATGTTAAATAATCCACTCTGATGTTCTCATGATACGCATAAAAGTTTCCAATTATTCAATAACCTAGCTCATATAATGGAAGCATATTTTTCTGAAAGACTCACTGTATATTATACTGATACAAATATTAAGTAGGGCATAAAAGAAAATTTATCCAAGATAGATTTTTGTGTTCATTATTTAGTCCTTTCATAACCTCTCTGCTTAGTAAAGGAAATCATGGATCAAGCATGTACTCCCTGAACTCCCCAATTATACAGGTGGTATGTGCTAAATATTATCCTAATATTATGTCAAATATCATGTTATTTAATTCTCACATGTCTGTAATTGTTCCCATTTCACAGGTGTGGAAACAGATTCAAGATTTAGAATGTTAACTATATGTGTAGTTTATGTTGGTGCTATGATACAAAAATTATCTGTCTTAATACAAAGTCAATGTTTTTTGTATTGCATCATGCTCAGAACTAAGAACAGATCCTTAACCTTTTTTAAGGGAAAAGAGACATTTAATACACCTTGGTGTATTAAATACGTCTTAGGCATCAGCTCTGAGTTCATTGAGCACCTCTGAAATAGGGGTTCCTAAGAGTCAGGAAAAATATTTGATTCTTCTGACAGCCACAGACCCACTTGGGCACTAAGGCAAGTTCTTAATTTGAACATGACAGGAAATAATGCAGATTAATTTGTTGAAGGCCCTACCTTGAGTAGGATTAGATGAAACAAAATCCATTGGACAGGCAGTGGAAGCCAAAAGCTGGAACTTTCATATGTGCAACTAAAATTGCTTTTGCTATTCTTAGGTGTATGATAAGGTGAAGCATAAGCTTTACCAAATGGGCCTCTAATCAAAGCATCTGGTAGTCCTGATATCCCAAAGTAAGGTGAATATGGAATAAGCAGAGGACGATGGAAGAGTAAGTCAGAAAGGAGGCCTAGATATGGAAATAATTATAGCCAAGACTGTCCTAGGGCTGTGCTTCAGGCCTCTGCTTCTTTGGACTAAATAACCTTTTTAAGTCCAGACCAGCAAAAGTCTGCAGGTTTTATCAAGGCAGTTTTTAAAAACTATCACTTTGGTTCCTTTCTAACTGGTGTTTGGGTCTGAGATAGATAAGTGTTCTTCAGACTTGCTGCTGAGATGACCCGATATGTGTTCACTTGTACCATGACATTGATAATACCTTGTGGTTGCTAAAGAGGGAAAGTGAAGCTTTAAGAAGCCAGAAAACTTACCTAATGCACAGACACCATGACTTACTTGCACAACTCTAAATTGTATGCTTTGAAAAGTTGAATTTTTTGGTAAGTGAATTATATCTGAAACATGTTCTATTTTTCTATTTTTAAAAGTCTTAACTTACTTTCTGGGCCATGTTTTTGACAGAAAGCAGTATTTCTACCTTAAAGGTCTACTATTGACTCCTAACTAATTTTAATCAAACACAATCAAGTACTTCCTATATATAAACTCCGTGCTAGATGCTATGAAATATTTACCAAAATGAGCTTGTGATAATTATATAGTTTACTAAGCATTTATTATAAGCCACACATTATCTCCATCAGTGAAGCAGGTGCTTTCATTTCCATCCATTAAGTCGAGAAGCTGAGGTCAAGAAGATTAGATAGTTGCTCAAGGAACACAGCAACTAGTAAAACACAGAGCTGAGATTTGGACTCAAGTCTTTCTTACTACAAAGTCTATAATTTTATCCAATATGTTAAGCAAGCAAGACAAGGAAGAAAGACTGGAATGCAAAGCATACAAAAAAGTGAATGCTGGCATTCTGAGAGTAAGCAAACTATGGAGAGAGAGTTTCAAGTTCTAAACTAGATGTTTAGAAAATCCTACAACTGCAACATCCTTACTCTGCAAAGATGGCTTTAAAATTCTATCTCAATATGGAGTCTGGGGCCTGAATCTTCCTGACACAGCTATCATCTTCACAAAACAAACACAATTGCAAAAGATTCATACACTTGATAATGACTATAAAAACACAACATTCTATGTGTTGTTTTGGTCTAATATTCTTTGGCTATGAGAACAATGGCCATCTCTCATGTGAACAGATATTATTCTAAGTGTTTACCAAGCTCTAGGCACTAACTGGAGGATGAGGTGAGTAAGATATGAAAATTATCTCCAAAGAAGTGCCTAGATTGGAGTTCACTGATCCCATATCCCTGGAAATGTGGTGTACATGTGGTTAAGTGCCAGGCTTTAGCATCAGACCCCATTGGTTTCTATCCTAGTGCTGCCACTGACTAGCTGTGAATTTGAACACATTTTAAATTTCTTGATGCTTCCATTTCCTGGTCTGTAAAACTAGGGTGAGAGTAACACTATCCTTATAATATACTGTGAGAAATAAGTATGCAAAACCACCAGATGCAGAAGGTAATAAACACTAACTCATAGATAGCTTCAATTATCATCACCTGGTGGCAAAGTGTGGAAGAGCTGACTCATCTTGCCTAATATAGGTTTCTGATTATTTTCAATACCCTCAAATATATTTGATATACTCTTTGTATATAACCTAGGATCCACGCATAAAGATGCCAGGCTAGTAATTGAGAACAAGATGCTGGAAGAAGGCCCACTAAATTCACCTTGAGCACTTCTGAAAACATTCCTTTTAAATGTAACCCATTACACTTTGATAGCCTAGAAAGAGCCTTCACAGGCTCTTCTAGCTCTTCACATGACCAGAGAATATTTCTTCTTGTCCTGGCTTACAGCACATCCTTATATTTTCTTTCATATTATCTGTGTGTAAGTGAACCAGACACTCCTAAAAACATGCATCATTTTTGCATAACAGCTATGTAATAAATACACAGAGGTAAGCTAATGTGATGGTTAAGAGCAACAGCACTATGACAAAACAGATATAAATTAAAGTCCTGGTTCTTCCACTTTCTTGCTATAACTTTGGATACTCATCCTTCTAAAACCCATATTTCATCTATAAAATGTGATAAAAATATATAAAGAAAAGTTGTGAAAAGATGACATGATATGTGAAATGTATTCAGCACACTACTTACCACATGAATGGAAAATGGTGTATATGGTGGAAATAATATGTACATAAAAATTCTCAATAAATGGCAGTTATTAGTGCCAAAGACATGAACAAGGTAAGCCTAATAGCTTGGGTTCACTCTCAATTAAATAAGCATTTATGCAGCACCTGACAAGTAATTACATTTTGCTGCTTTCTGTGGGTACTAAATAAAGGAAAAAAATTACACAAGTTCTCTAAAACAAAGTCTCTGCTTTTTACATATCTAGACATGTCCTTATACTGGAAGGTGGAGCTGGTAGCAATGTTTCTGCAATCATCTCAGATGAGAATGTGAAGCAGGAGGAAGATAAACATATAGAGAGGTGGAGTTAGGTTTGATTGGAAATGAATCAGCCCATCCCACAGAGGGTAGCACCCACATTTTATAAGCTATATAAGGGCCACTATCGTAGTCCATCAATACCCTGCAAGCTGTATCAGGCTTTATCCTACTTGTTCCTTTGGTGAACCAGGTGAGAGAAAATTTATACAGCTACATCTATGAATATTTGGTGTTGTTCATAATAGAAACTCAAAAATATTAGCTAAGGCAGAGATTGCATATATCTTGCCATTCTATTTTTTCTGTGTTGTGTCTTTTTTTCCTGTCCCCTTTGTTTGCTTTTTTCTTGGTCAGTTTGATTAGTCTGGGGTCTTTTAGGAATAAGTAATAAGTGTGTCACTATGGAGAGGAAAAATGCAAATAGAAGTTTCTCTTCTTTTAGGCCATTCCATACTCTCTTCCTAGTCTTTTTGCATGCCACCTTTTCTGGGATGTGTAGCTCAAATAGGAAAGAGGCTGGCACTGTTATAGAGTCTCTTCCTTGTTCACTGTTGAGTCCTAGAGCTTCAAGATCTAATTATACAATAATCAAATTCCTGCCTGCATTGCTGAGCTTTTCTCCCTGATTAATGAAAAGAAACAGTGTTTGATCAAGTGCTGAAACCAGGACAGTTCCTAACCTCTGATAAGGGTTGTCTCAGAACTTCAAAGTACTAAGGTATCATTATCACTTCTCAGCCTTTTGGCTAAAATCAAGTGTAAAGTACTAGCATTATTAGCCCACTCTGTCTATTTTTGATTTGCTGGAAGGTTTTATGGTCCAGTTTCACTCTGGCACTCAAGGGGGATGCAGACATCACTTTTTACTCAGGAAAAGCACCAGTGAAACTAGAAAAAGAGATCGTTAGAGGGGAAAATATAAGGAAAGGGTGTAGGAGGGTGAATACAGTGGAAATAATATGTACGCATGTATGTAAATGGGAAAATGAGACCTGTTGAAACTATTCTAGGAATGGGAGAGGGGAGAATAAAGGACAATGATGGAGGAGGTGAATTTAACTATGACATATTGTAAGAACTTCTGTAAATGTCACAATGTACCCTCAGTACAACACTAATTTAAAAAAAGAAAAAGAGATTGTGGAAATGGTGTTTGGGTGGTTTCGGAAAATATGAAAGCCCTTGGACAATACCCAGGACATCAAAGTACTCAGCATGTAGAGACTACTTTCATCCAGAACAAGAAATATGGAGATCTGAGCCATCCATGACTTGATTTTAGCAAAGTAACTAAAAGTTAACCAAGTTTTGCTGTCTTGAAAGCTATTGTAAGATCTCTGACCCATCCTTACATGTGGAGGTTTAAAAGTGACAAGAGGCTTAAAAAACCATATTAAAATGAGAACTGTTGATATGCTAAAAGAAAGGAATTATAGAATCTTTTGTTTTTTTCTCTCTAGGTTTACTTAAACTTTCAAAAAGATGACAGACCTCTTAAGAAGTGTTGTCACAGTCATTGACATTTTCTACAAATACACGAAGCAAGATGGGGAATGTGGCACACTAAGCAAAGATGAGCTAAAGGAACTGTTAGAGAAAGAGTTTCGTCCAATTCTGAAGGTGAGGATCATGAAGCCTGCTGGGGTACAGTACATGCTCTGTTATAGGACCAAGGTTAGCTAAAAAGTGTAGAACCCCAATGGGCTCTGAGAAAACTATGTGAGTAGATTTTTGTTGGACAGCATGAAATCTACTAAGGCAGCATGCATTTTTTTAAATGTAAATGTTTCTCACTTTCCTGTGCGCTCCCACTTTATAGACTCAGACTTTCACATTCACATTGGCTAATCCTCTGAAAACACAGAAAATGTATTTGTACTAAGACATGAATTAATAAATTGTACTATCAAATGGGAGAAGGAAAGTTTAGAGAGGTATATTATCTACAAGGAGAATTAACAAAGTGGCAAAGGATGATTTAAAACTGACAACAAAGTACAAGCATTTTTTTCCATCTCCTTGTGAAGGACTTAGTTATTGACTTAAAAATAATAGATCCTATATAGAATGTGTTAACATGTATATTTAAAATCTATGCAAAACTAAAACATACCTGAACTGAACTTGGTTTATTTCACTCTTTCCAGTATTCCACTCCTGAGCACTTAATTCTCTAGCTTAGATCCTTGAAATACCTTCTTTCAAAGATCCCAATAGTCTCTATTTTCTGTTACCTCTTCCCATTTGCTGAATCCTATTAACCTAAAGTAATGCTCAGTGAGACTAAAACTACATAATGTAAAATATCCACAAATTCATAGCCCTACTAGGCTGGGTTAGTTGAAAATGTGGGTTAGGCTGACAAGGTCTCCCTGGTGTGTCCCTCATATATAGAACCCAGATGATCCAGATACTGTGGATGTCATCATGCATATGCTGGATCGAGATCATGACCGAAGACTAGACTTTACAGAGTTTCTTTTGATGGTATTCAAGCTGGCTATGGCCTGCAACAAGGTTCTCAGCAAAGAATACTGCAAAGCTTCAGGGTCAAAGAAGCACAGGCATGGTCACCGGCACCAAAAAGAAGAAAGGGAAACAGATGAAGAAGAAGAAGAGACAACAGGACCAAAATCAGGTTACAGACATTCAAGTTGGAGCGAGGAAGTGGAGCATGGGTATAATTCTGGGGCTCAAGGGGAACTGCTAAACATAGACATGGGTCTAACTCCAGGAGGCTGGGAAGGCAAGGTGAATTATCCAGCTCAGAGGGATCTGAGAAAAGTCACCAAAGTTCTAGCTCTGGTCACTCTTGGAGGAGTGACAAAGAGAGACATGGTTCTAGCTCTGGAGAGCAAAGAGAAAGAAGAAATAAGTCACGTGGTAGCCCCTCTAGGGAATTTGGGGAGGAATATGAATCTGGATCTAGGTCAAATAGTCAGGGAAGGAAAGGTCATGGTGGTCTGTCACATGGCCAGGAGAGTAGTGAACATAAATCAAACTCTACTCAATCAAGAAAGAGTAGAGGACAAAAGCTTGCATCTAGCCCTACAAGTTCAGAAAACAACAGAACACAAAGTCATGAGTGTGGTTATAGCAATTTAGGTAGATGTGGAAGTCCACAAAATGCTTCTAGTTCTTGTCAGACAAGTAGATTTGGAGGGCAAGGAAACCAATCTAGCTGTACCCAGTCATGCTGTCAATCAGGAAGCACTTGGGGACAAGGTCATGGATGTATCTCAGGAAGTCAGTCCTCTGGATATTGTCAACCTGAGCCAAGCTCTTGTAGCCAGTCTTCTAGTCAAAGAAAATATGGATCTAGACAATGCTGTCAACCACAAAGCTGTGGAGGACAACAGGGCTCAAGTCAGTCCTCTTGCTGTGGACAATATGGGTCTGGAGCAAGTCAATCTTCTAATTATGGTCCATATAGATCTGGTTCCTGTGGACACTCTTCAAACTGTCAACAAAAAGGGTCTAGTTCAAGGCAATCTGCTAGCTATGAACAACATGGACCAGGTTCAAGTCAGTCCTCTGGCTTTGGACAACATAGGTCTAGCTCAAGTCAGTCTTGCTGTGGCCAACATGGGTCTGGCTCAGGTCAGCCATCTGGCTTTGGACAACTTGAATCCAGTTCACATCAGTCTTCTGGCTTTAGCCAACATGGGTCTGGTTCAGGTCAGTCCTCTGGCTTTGGCCAACATGGGTCTGGTTCAGGTCAGTCCTCTGGCTTTAGCCAGCATGGGACTGGATCAGGCCAGTCATCTGGGTTTGGACAACAGGAATCCAGTTCACATCAGTCCTCTGGCTTTGGCCAACATGGGTCTGGTTCAGGTCAGTCCTCTGGCTTTAGCCAACATGGGTCTGGCTCAGGTCAGCCGTCTGGCTTTGGACAACATGAATCCAGTTCACATCAGTCCTCTGGCTTTGGTCAACATGGATCTGGTTCAGGTCAGTCCTTTGGCTTTGGCCAACATAGGTCGGGTTCAGGTCAGTCCTCTGGCTTTGGACAGCATGGGTCTGGCTCAAGTCAGTCCTCTGGCTTAAGCCAACATGGGTCTGGCTCAGGTCAGTCATCTGGCTTTGGACAGCATGAATCTAGTTCACATCAGTCCTCTGGCTTTGGACAGCATGGGTCTGGTTCAGGTCAGTCATCTGGTTTTGGAAAACATGAATCCAGTTCACATCAGTCCTCTGGGTACAGTCAACATGGGTCTAGTTCAGGGCAGGCATCTGGCTTCAGACAGCATGGGTCTGGCTCTGGTGAGTCCTCTGGATATGGACAGTACGGGTCTGGCTCAGGTCAGTCCTCTGGCTTTGGACAGCATGGGTCTGGTTCGAGTCAGTCCTCTGGCTTCATCCAACATGGGTCTGGCTCAAGTCAGTCATCTGGCTTTGGAAAGCATGAATCCAGTTCACATCAGTTCTCTGGCTTTGGACAGCCTGGGTCTGGCTCAGGTCAGTCCTCTGGCTTTGGCCAACATGGGTCTGGCTCAGGTCAGTCCTCTGGCTTTGGCCAACATGGATCTGGTTCAGGTCAGTCCTCTGGCTTTGGCCAACATGGGTCTGGCTCAAGTCAGTCCTCTGGCTTTGGACAGCATGGGTCTGGTTCAGGTCAATCTTCTGGCTATGGTCAACATGGGTCTAAGTCAGGGCAGGCATCTGGCTTTGGACATCATGGGTCTGGCTCTGGAGAGTCCTCTGGCTTTGGCCAACATGGGTCTGGCTCAAGTCAGTCCTCTGGCTTTGGACAGCATGGGTCTGGCTCAGGTCAGTCATCTGGCTTTGGCCAACATGGGTCTGGTTCAGGTCAATCTTCTGGCTATGGTCAACATGGGTCTAGGTCAGGGCAGGCATCTGGCTTTGGACATCATGGGTCTGGCTCTGGAGAGTCCTCTGGCTTTGGCCAACATGGGTCTGGCTCAAGTAAGTCCTCTGGATTTGGCCAACATGGATCTGGTTCACATCAATCCTCTAGTTTTGGACAGCATGAGTCTAGATCCAGTCAATCTAGTCAAGGTCAACATGCTTTTGCCTCTGGACCATCCTCTGGCACTGGCCAACATGGTTATGGATCAGGCAAGTCTCATACTGGTCCACATAGGTCTAGTTCAGGTCAGTCTTCTAGTTATGGTCAACATAAGTTTAGCACAGGTAAATCTTCTGGTTATGACCAACATAAATTGAGAGTAAGTGCACAAGGATTTGGGACTAGTTCAGGCCAAAAATATCCTCAAAATGGAAGACCAAACTCAGATTCAAGCCATAAGCAAACAAGGAAAAGTGGACAGGAGATAGCTACTCAAAGTGATAGTGAAAGAAGCAGGAGTGACTCTGAGAGTCACAGCAGCATTCAAGGACAAAGGGAACAAACACAAAGATCACATCAAGAACAGCGAGCTTCCATAAATAGAAGGCAGGAAAAAGCACATAAACAATCAAGTGACACTGAAGGTCAGTCAAATAACTGGGAGAAATATTCATCATCAACTCATAGGAATACTGGAAAAGATCAAGGAGAATCAGAATCTATTCCAACTAGGAATAAAAGACAAACACATGGACAGAGAGGTGACAGCACAGGGCTATCAGGTACACAACAGAGACACACAGCACCTACTCATGACTGCACAGGATCTTCCATAGGTAAACAAGAATCAACTAATAGTCAGTCAAGAGATAACACAAGAAATACGCAGGGAGGAAAGGGACAATCTACAAGATCAGAATCAAATACAACTAAAAGACACAGGGAGAGCCAATCCAGTGACAATGAAAAACATTCAAGAGACTTGCAAAGATACTCAGGGTTCACTGAAGGCCATGGTGGATCTCAACATGAAGAGTCAGTCCAAAGGCAACAAGGAACTCCTCATGGACAATCAAGAGATACCACCAGGCAAAATCAGCATAGAGGAGGACAATCCCAACAGTCTGGGTCCAGTCCATCTCCAAGAAGGACACCTGTTCATAGCCAGTCCAGTGACAGAGAGCAGCATTCAAAAATCTCACACAGGCAGACAGGATCCACTCAGGAACATGCTGGATCTCACCATGCAGAATCAGGATCCACAGTGAAAGGGAGACAGGGAATACCTCATGGACAGTCGAGAGATACAACTAGACGTGCCCAGTCTGGTCATGGGAAGTCACCACGTTCTGAACCCAGGATAACATCAGGGAGGACACCCACTGTCAGTGAATCCACTGATAGTGAAGAGCACACGGTCATCTCACACAGACAGTCTGGGTCCACTCAGGGCCATGGGGGATCTCAACATGGAGAGTCGGGATCCATAGTCCAAGGCAGACAGGGAACTCCTCACAGGCAGGCCAGAGATTCTAGTAGAAATGCCAAGACTGGCCGTGGTCAATCCCAACAGTCTGGCTCCAGTCCATCTCCAAGAAGGGCACCTATTCATAGCCAATCCAGTGACACAGAGGAGCATTCACAAGTCTCACAGAGGCAGTCTGGATCTACTCAGCACTATGGCAGATCTCAACATGGAGAATCAGGAACCACAATCCAAGGCAGACAGGGAACTCCTCATGGACAGTCAAGAGATACCACGAGGCAAAATCAGCATAGAGGAGGACAATCCCAACAGTCTGGGTCCAGTCCATCTCCAAGAAGGACACCTGTTCATAGCCAGTCCAGTGACAGAGAGCAGCATTCAAAAATCTCACACAGGCAGACAGGATCCACTCAGGAACATGCTGGATCTCACCATGCAGAATCAGGATCCACAGTGAAAGGGAGACAGGGAATACCTCATGGACAGTCGAGAGATACAACTAGACGTGCCCAGTCTGGTCATGGGAAGTCACCACGTTCTGAACCCAGGATAACATCAGGGAGGACACCCACTGTCAGTGAATCCACTGATAGTGAAGAGCACACGGTCATCTCACACAGACAGTCTGGGTCCACTCAGGGCCATGGGGGATCTCAACATGGAGAGTCGGGATCCATAGTCCAAGGCAGACAGGGAACTCCTCACAGGCAGGCCAGAGATTCTAGTAGAAATGCCAAGACTGGCCGTGGTCAATCCCAACAGTCTGGCTCCAGTCCATCTCTAAGAAGGGCACCTATTCATAGCCAATCCAGTGACACAGAGGAGCATTCACAAGTCTCACAGAGGCAGTCTGGATCTACTCAGCACTATGGCAGATCTCAACATGGAGAATCAGGAACCACAATCCAAGGCAGACAGGGAACTCCTCATGGACAGTCAAGAGATACCACCAGGCAAAATCAGCATAGAGGAGGACAATCCCAACAGTCTGGGTCCAGTCCATCTCCAAGAAGGACACCTGTTCATAGCCAGTCCAGTGACAGAGAGCAGCATTCAAAAATCTCACACAGGCAGACAGGATCCACTCAGGAACATGCTGGATCTCACCATGCAGAATCAGGATCCACAGTGAAAGGGAGACAGGGAATACCTCATGGACAGTCGAGAGATACAACTAGACGTGCCCAGTCTGGTCATGGGAAGTCACCACGTTCTGAACCCAGGATAACATCAGGGAGGACACCCACTGTCAGTGAATCCACTGATAGTGAAGAGCACACGGTCATCTCTCACAGACAGTCTGGGTCTACTCAGGGCCATGGGGGATCTCAACATGGAGAGTCGGGATCCATAGTCCAAGGCAGACAGGGAACTCCTCACAGGCAGGCCAGAGATTCTAGTAGAAATGCCAAGACTGGCCGTGGTCAATCCCAACAGTCTGGCTCCAGTCCATCTCCAAGAAGGGCACCTATTCATAGCCAATCCAGTGACACAGAGGAGCATTCACAAGTCTCACAGAGGCAGTCTGGATCTACTCAGCACTATGGCAGATCTCAACATGGAGAATCAGGAACCACAATCCAAGGCAGACAGGGAACTCCTCATGGACAGTCAAGAGATACCACCAGGCAAAATCAGCATAGAGGAGGACAATCCCAACAGTCTGGGTCCAGTCCATCTCCAAGAAGGACACCTGTTCATAGCCAGTCCAGTGACAGAGAGCAGCATTCAAAAATCTCACACAGGCAGACAGGATCCACTCAGGAACATGCTGGATCTCACCATGCAGAATCAGGATCCACAGTGAAAGGGAGACAGGGAATACCTCATGGACAGTCGAGAGATACAACTAGACGTGCCCAGTCTGGTCATGGGAAGTCACCACGTTCTGAACCCAGGATAACATCAGGGAGGACACCACTGACAGTGAATCCACTGATAGTGAAGAGCACACGGTCATCTCTCACAGACAGTCTGGGTCTACTCAGGGCCATGGGGGATCTCAACATGGAGAGTCGGGATCCATAGTCCAAGGCAGACAGGGAACTCCTCACAGGCAGGCCAGAGATTCTAGTAGAAATGCCAAGACTGGCCGTGGTCAATCCCAACAGTCTGGCTCCAGTCCATCTCCAAGAAGGGCACCTATTCATAGCCAATCCAGTGACACAGAGGAGCATTCACAAGTCTCACAGAGGCAGTCTGGATCTACTCAGCACTATGGCAGATCTCAACATGGAGAATCAGGAACCACAATCCAAGGCAGACAGGGAACTCCTCATGGACAGTCAAGAGATACCACGAGGCAAAATCAGCATAGAGGAGGACAATCCCAACAGTCTGGGTCCAGTCCATCTCCAAGAAGGACACCTGTTCATAGCCAGTCCAGTGACAGAGAGCAGCATTCAAAAATCTCACACAGGCAGACAGGATCCACTCAGGAACATGCTGGATCTCACCATGCAGAATCAGGATCCACAGTGAAAGGGAGACAGGGAATACCTCATGGACAGTCGAGAGATACAACTAGACGTGCCCAGTCTGGTCATGGGAAGTCACCACGTTCTGAACCCAGGATAACATCAGGGAGGACACCCACTGTCAGTGAATCCACTGATAGTGAAGAGCACACGGTCATCTCACACAGACAGTCTGGGTCACTCAGGGCCATGGGGGATCTCAACATGGAGAGTCGGGATCCATAGTCCAAGGCAGACAGGGAACTCCTCACAGGCAGGCCAGAGATTCTAGTAGAAATGCCAAGACTGGCCGTGGTCAATCCAACAGTCTGGCTCCAGTCCATCTCTAAGAAGGGCACCTATTCATAGCCAATCCAGTGACACAGAGGAGCATTCACAAGTCTCACAGAGGCAGTCTGGATCTACTCAGCACTATGGCAGATCTCAACATGGAGAATCAGGAACCACAATCCAAGCAGACAGGGAACTCCTCATGGACATCAAGAGATACCACCAGGCAAAATCAGCATAGAGGAGGACAATCCCAACAGTCTGGGTCCAGTCCATCTCCAAGAAGGACACCTGTTCATAGCCAGTCCAGTGACAGAGAGCAGCATTCAAAAATCTCACACAGGCAGACAGGATCCACTCAGGAACATGCTGGATCTCACCATGCAGAATCAGGATCCACAGTGAAAGGGAGACAGGGAATACCTCATGGACAGTCGAGAGATACAACTAGACGTGCCCAGTCTGGTCATGGGAAGTCACCACGTTCTGAACCCAGGATAACATCAGGGAGGACACCCACTGTCAGTGAATCCACTGATAGTGAAGAGCACACGGTCATCTCACACAGACAGTCTGGGTCCACTCAGGGCCATGGGGGATCTCAACATGGAGAGTCGGGATCCATAGTCCAAGGCAGACAGGGAACTCCTCACAGGCAGGCCAGAGATTCTAGTAGAAATGCCAAGACTGGCCGTGGTCAATCCCAACAGTCTGGCTCCAGTCCATCTCTAAGAAGGGCACCTATTCATAGCCAATCCAGTGACACAGAGGAGCATTCACAAGTCTCACAGAGGCAGTCTGGATCTACTCAGCACTATGGCAGATCTCAACATGGAGAATCAGGAACCACAATCCAAGACAGACAGGGAACTCCTCATGGACAATCAAGAGATACCACCAGGCAAAATCAGCATAGAGGAGGACAATCCCAACAGTCTGGGTCCAGTCCATCTCCAAGAAGGACACCTGTTCATAGCCAGTCCAGTGACAGAGAGCAGCATTCAAAAATCTCACACAGGCAGACAGGATCCACTCAGGAACATGCTGGATCTCACCATGCAGAATCAGGATCCACAGTGAAAGGGAGACAGGGAATACCTCATGGACAGTCGAGAGATACAACTAGACGTGCCCAGTCTGGTCATGGGAAGTCACCACGTTCTGAACCCAGGATAACATCAGGGAGGACACCCACTGTCAGTGAATCCACTGATAGTGAAGAGCACACGGTCATCTCTCACAGACAGTCTGGGTCTACTCAGGGCCATGGGGGATCTCAACATGGAGAGTCGGGATCCATAGTCCAAGGCAGACAGGGAACTCCTCACAGGCAGGCCAGAGATTCTAGTAGAAATGCCAAGACTGGCCGTGGTCAATCCCAACAGTCTGGCTCCAGTCCATCTCCAAGAAGGGCACCTATTCATAGCCAATCCAGTGACACAGAGGAGCATTCACAAGTCTCACAGAGGCAGTCTGGATCTACTCAGCACTATGGCAGATCTCAACATGGAGAATCAGGAACCACAATCCAAGGCAGACAGGGAACTCCTCATGGACAGTCAAGAGATACCACGAGGCAAAATCAGCATAGAGGAGGACAATCCCAACAGTCTGGGTCCAGTCCATCTCCAAGAAGGACACCTGTTCATAGCCAGTCCAGTGACAGAGAGCAGCATTCAAAAATCTCACACAGGCAGACAGGATCCACTCAGGAACATGCTGGATCTCACCATGCAGAATCAGGATCCACAGTGAAAGGGAGACAGGGAATACCTCATGGACAGTCGAGAGATACAACTAGACGTGCCCAGTCTGGTCATGGGAAGTCACCACGTTCTGAACCCAGGATAACATCAGGGAGGACACCCACTGTCAGTGAATCCACTGATAGTGAAGAGCACACGGTCATCTCACACAGACAGTCTGGGTCTACTCAGGGCCATGGTGGATCTCATCATACTCATAGGCAGTTAAGGGATAGCACAGGAAAGCAATCAATTAGTATTCATCTTCAAACTGGAAGAAGGCATTTTCA